CTCGCATATGGCACTTTTTCTAGGTCGTACATACCTGACTGCCATCAACTTTGACTCTTTTACTGCCATCAACTTTAACCCTTTCACTGCCATCAACTTTGACCCTTTCACTGCCATCAACTTTGACTCTTTCACTGTCATCAACTTTGAACCTTTCACTGCCATCAACTTTGACCCTTTCACTGCCATCAACTTTGACCCTTTCACTGCCATCAACTTTGACCTTTTCACTGCCATCAACTTTGACTCTTTCACTGCCATCAACTTTGACCCTTTCACTGTCATCAAATTTGACCCTTTCACTGCCATCAACTTTGACCCTTTCACTGCCATCAACTTTAACCCTTTCACTGCCATCAACTTTAACCCTTTCACTGCCATCAAATTTGACCCCTTCACTGTCATCACATTTGACCATTTCACTGCCATCAACTTTGATCCATTTGCCAGCATTATTAACTGACTTTTTCACTCGATTGTCAACTTAGACTTTGCCATTCTAAGCTACAAACCATCAAAAATATGTTACAATTTCCTATGTATTTATTAATAGGCATAGTCCTGGCAATTAGACGATGTCTGACAGAGACCTCCTATGTGATTTCCAACATTGATGAATGGAAGAATGTCATCCATCAAATTATAACTGTCACAGAAACTATCATTAATTTCATGCTTCAAATATTATTTGGGAAGAAGTCTAATCCTGATACAGGTAATTACTGATTTATTTTACATGTACAGATTCACCATAAAGTAATTATGTGTCACCATACGTGCATTTACTATATACCGATAATATGATATCATTCAATAAAATTAATCTAATGATGTTTTTAAAAAAATGTGTTTACGTATAAAATAAATAGAGGTGTTTTAACACAATAAACTGAAAAAAAAAATTGTAATGGTCATGCATGATAGAACAAAAACAGCAATCTAACAAAACATTGAAAAAAAAATGTTCAAATTCACTATGCAAACACAAGCTAGTGAATTTTCATGAGATAATGGAACGAGATGATTGTCAATTATGCATATGTCCATCCCTATGCTGGATGATTTATTGGAGTTCTTCTATTGTCATGGTAACCATAATATGTAATCTTAGATACTTCCCCTGACTTTGCTGAGATGGGTATGGCTATTGACGAGGCCATAGTAGAGTCAAAGGATGGTGGAAATGATCATGAAGAATCCGCTGTGATCTCTGTGGAACATCAGCTCATCCTGGCATACAGCTGGTTAAATATTAAGGTAAAATGATGTCATGACATTTTTGCGTAATATATACAAGTATTTTGAAGCATGTCTTTGAATTGTTATCTTGTCACTATTTCTATATTTTTGCAAATATTCAGATCAATAATTTAGCTAATAAAAAATCATGTCCATATGTTCCAAAAATTATACAAAATGTTGCACATGATTACTCATGAAGTAGTCTGTGAATGAACTGGTCATATCATCTCAGACTGTTTTTGATTTTAATAATCTTGGTATATATGTATGTAAGCGCTTGATATTTTGTTTGAAGTAGTCTGTGAAGTAGTCTGTGAATGAACTGGTCATATCATCTCAGACTGTTTTTGATTTTAATAATCTTGGTATATATGTATGTAAGCGCTTGATATTTTGTTTTTTTCAAATGTCAACAAAATATGTATAATTTCATGATGAATGTTTTGTTCACAGGAATGTAGTTTGCTGCTAGGAGCCATTGCTGAAAAGTTACCATTATGTGATGAATTCTCTGGAGTTCTATCAACTGAACAAATTCAAAAGATGGCAGACATGTTTGTAAAAGTTCTCACCAAATGCCGTCATAGGGTAAGGTGTTAATTGTTAGCCCCTATTGAAGCTAGCTACATGTGCATGAAGTGTTGTGTCTCATAATTCTTATATCTAGAGGTCAATGGATATCTAACTATAAACTGTCCCTGTTACTGTTCAACTTCTATGTCCATTGAAACTAAAACAAAAACAGACACAAACCTAAGAATAAAACTTAAGTTATTAGGGTTCAAGAAGACCTTAAAGCAAGAGCTATGAAGTCATGCTATTCTCAGAAACACTGATTCCAATCCAAACATACTTAAAAAATATTTGATGCAATGGTAAAACCAATCATGCTTTTATCTTAGTGCAGTGATTTAAACCTGTCTACACCATACATTTCTCTAGATTAAGATACAACAGGTTGTCAATTTTACAATGAAATACTCTGTGTAAGGTTTGAAAGTTTTACTTTATTTCATTTATTTTACAGGGTGCTATAGAGGGATGTAATCTAGGATTTATGAAATTGTGTTCCAGATTGTTATCATCTTCCAGCCAAGAACTCTCAAGTATTCCAAAGACTTTACTTGACCAGGTCTGTTTATGTATAGTATATACTCGTATATGTAGTAGATTTGTCTCATGATTAATAAAATAATTTATCTGACATTATCACTACAGTGTGACATCTTGCCAAACTTTGTTTTCATTGTACATTCTGCCTGTGGAGCTTCCAAGTTTATATACAATCTGAAAACTATGGATTGTGGTAACAATGAATCATTTTAGCAAGCTCATGTGTGTATCTTCGGAATTATTATTCAGTTCTTTCAAAAATCATTTGAAATTTAAAAAAAAAAACTCTTAGCAAGTTGGAGCAAATATCACAAAGGGAGCAGAATCTCCATAGATCATACACAAGGCGTTCACATGAAATAGAACACTTGGGATCAAGAGAATTAGAAACCAAAGTATACACAATGATAGATTTGTATTTGGTGTTTTTTCCCACATTAATTTACCTGTCAACACTTTGCTGTTTAACTATTTCAGACTGCAGAAATATGTATGTGATGAATCTGTAATCTCACGATATTTTCTCTTACTGCTTATGCTTATGTTTTCATAAACATACACTTGTGATTACTGCCAGAGTATCACCTCAGTGTGGCTCAGATTGTTTCAAAACTCGGGCAGTAAACACGTGTGTTTACATCAACCTAAGGGAAAATATTGTGAGATTATAAATAAATATTATTTTTTCTCCTTCAAAATTTCATAGAAATTCGAATAAACTTTGCATGATATGATATATTAATAAACTTTGCATTAATAACGCCCACAATTAAGAATTGTTTGATAGTTCTTATTTAAACTCGTTATATACCTGTGGTACATACACAATTTGGCCCTCTGATTGTTAAATAGCTTAATGAGTTCTTAATACATTTGTGATTAATTATTATAATGATCAGCTAATCAGTTATTGGGATAATTTAATTTAATTTAAGTAAAACTGCTTGGTAGTAGGTTATCTTATGGTTTTTGGCAACAAACAGCTGATTACTTACCGGTATATATAAATATTAATTACTAGTTTATCTTGGTCAAAGCTAACAATGTACATCTGGTTGTTATTTTACACTCAGTATTAGTGTTGCTGATAATCTCCCTGGAAAGAGAGCTTCTCTGCTTTATAGCGTTAGTACATTAATTTTGAAATTGTAGCTATAATTAATTATAATATTTGCAACTGATTTGTTTTGTAGGTGTTCTGTTTATTAGATTCCTCTTTATCAGGCACCTCTATCACCAGAAGAAGTGCTGGATTACCATTGATGGTAGAAACTATTACTGCATGTGAACCTAAAGGAAGAGAGGTCAGTGTTATGTTAAGAGCTCGGCCATGCACTTCTAACATTACCATTGATGGTAGAAACTATCACTGCATGTGAACCTAAAGGAAGAGAGGTCAGTGTTATGTTAAGAGCTCGGCCATGCACTTCTAACATTACAATGGATTACCATTGATGGTAGAAACTATCACTGCATGTGAACCTAAAGGAAGAGAGGTCAGTGTTATGTTAAGAGCTCGGCCATGCACTTCTAACATTACCATTGATGGTAGAAACTATTACTGCATGTGAACCTAAAGGAAGAGAGGTCAGTGTTATGTTAAGAACTCGGCCATGCACTTCTAACATTACAAATTGAGTTGTAGTATTTCCTATTACGTAAATTTGTGTAATGTACAAATAAGTTTGCACCATGGATGTAATTATTGTCTTTATCAAATAAGTAACCATACTTGTCATTTCCTAATAATATAAATACAATTGAACACTCAGTGTTTGAACCAGGTCAAATCCAGTAATGTAATCAGATCAGAATGATCACACATATCATCACAGCCAAATCAGTTTATTTGTGCATCACCCTCTCTGTATCTTGGAAATCCTGAGAGGATCACGTTCAAATCACACATACATTTTAGGAGACATATCCATGTTCATCGTTTCACAATCCCATTTGAAATGGATGAAGAGTGACTATTATTTTTATGCGTAAAATTTAACTATTTTGGAACTGGAACTTGGCCATATATGCATAGATTTTGTTTAAACATGGTGCGCAGCATTTTGTTTTGCAAATCAAATTTATTAAAATGGCTCATTGGCAGCCATTTTGTTTTAACAAATGCTGTTTGGGATCCCTATCTCATATATATGACATACTTTGACCAATCACATTCAAACTTTATATATACTTCATACAACAGATCGCATATATATATATATTTTAATGTTCAAATTAAGTTCATCAAAATCAAGCATTTCCGCTATTCTAAAACTACGTCTCTGACATTGACTAGTTCCAATCAAACTTTATACATACTTTGTACATCCTGTTACAATACGCATTTCTTTCAAGTTCTGATTCAAAATGGCTGACTCATTTCAGTGTTGGTTATGCTCATTTGTGTCTTTGAATATTTGTATCATGACTGTCATCATTAATTAGTAACTATTTTCTTCCCCAGAGATCACTGCTCAAACTATCCATGACTAGGCTACTTCAAACTGTCAACCATCCAATACCAACCGATACTACACAAACTATAGATTTGCCTCAGGTTCATGCATTAAACATTATGAAGTCACTATTCAGGAATTCTGTCCTTGGCAACACTATGTTGCAGTATGCATCTGATGTTGTCATGGTAACTATAGAAGGGTTTTCATCCTCATCATGGGCCATCAGAAATTCTGCTACACTGTTGTATGGTAAGTTTAATTATGTTTTTCATAAGACAAATCTCTGCTGATTTTTACCAGTGTTGAACATTTTGTTTGGGGCCAATAGTTTTGAAAGCCAACAGCTTGTTTTGCCTGACACAAAAACCGATGTGCAAATTTGAGTTTCTCATACTTTTTTCTGTGGTGGTGGATATATTCTAAACAGACCATAAACGGAACTATATATTGTGAATTTGTGATGAAAAGAGGGAACTGGTGGTGAAAAGATTAAGTGACTGATGTTTTAATTGATTTAACACATTTGACATGTTGCCACATGTAGTATGGGACCCATGCACGGTCTCAATGACCACCAGTCTTTAAGATAATAGACAGCAGTACATTCAGTATTAGCTAAATATATTTCACTGAAAAAATTTAAGTTGATACCAATGTAATATTTTCAATCCTATAGGTACATTAGTAGCTCGTATGTTGGGTCAAAAACGAGTTCAAGACGAACATTCTGATTTAAACACTATCACAGCACAAGAATTCTTTTATCGCTATCCCAAGCTGCAGTCATATCTGTTGTCAGAAGTCATCAAAGCATCAACATCTAATAATAGACTTAACCTTCACCCTGGACTTCATCCAGTCTTAACGTTGTTGTCAAAACTCGCTGTTGGAATTCAACAATACAGCTCTGAATGGTAAGCTGTGCTATATCAGCACCCACAAAACAGTAACAATGAGCTTTCATGTTTTTCTGAAATCTGTTTTCAATATATTGTAAGAGACATACTCATTTTGTCAGCCTTATCAAAATGAACACTTACACTATGTATATGTCCCTCTCAGTGCACTGTCAAGCTTTATCCAACCTGTGATGGAACTGTCATCAAGTCCTATTTATGCTGTGAGAGTATTATCAGCATCAGCACTTGTACCATTGGTTACCATGGAGGAACAACCAAACATACTGTCAGCCATATTGGATGATTTACCTGCTAGTTTTGATGCAGTCAAATATCATAATAAATTGCATGGAATGTTATTACAAATAGAGAAACTATTACAATCATTGACATCTCATGAACGGTGAGTATTTGTTCCTGTCGGAAAAAGACCATATATTCATTTCTAATTGTGTCCAAAAAATGTAACTGTATAAAACTGATATGCTATGCGATAAAGATCCCAATATGAATTCACACAAATTGTGAGATGATGACAAAACATGAATTTTTATGAAATGTCTGTGAATGAACTAGTCATTTCTTCTCAGGCTGTTTTTGCTAGCTTATTTGCAAAGTGTGTATATTACTGCTATGTGTTTTTGCCTTTTAAAATACCCATTCAACGAAGTACATTTGATTGAGGCATACAACCTCATCGCATATCATTACCACTACACATGGATATCTAAGTTGCATACTCTTACAATATCTTATAAATCCTTGATATGTCACATATATCGCCTTACATGGATATCTAGTTTTGTATACACTCATCCCATAAATCCGTTTTATATAGCAATTAAATAGCAACTTTCACACAGAATTTATGGACCATGTGGTTATCGGGGTAGTAGCAATTAACTCTAGCACACTGTCTCAATGAATTGACAATGATATTTTGGACAAACTCAAAATGGACTGACCCAAATCATAACATAACCTGATCATGTGTGTATCATGTGTACATTTTAAATTTTCCATAAAATTATAATAATCTGATCTATATTCCACAGGTGGTGGCAAGAGTAGACACACAGACATATGCAGACAATGCCATATTCACTTTCAGTCTCAATTCACTGAAGCATAGCTGTACCAATGATGATTAAGAATGAAACCTGACAATGACAGAAGTTGTATTATTCATTGTTCAGTATTACAATATGATAGTATGTTGATTCTCTACTCTTACAGATTTATGAGTTCCTACTCCTCTGTTATTGGTAAACTTCAAGCCAAGTTATGGTTAGCAAAGTCTGACAATCCATGCCCTCTCACTAGGGCATTATATGTGAATATTTTGCTGAAATGTCTAACAAACATGGAAGATGAATCGGAGAAATATCAGCAGTTGAAACTCCATGTATTCAAAATTGTTACAGATTTCCGGAACGAGAACGTGGAGAATTTGGTAATGATTGATTATATATAGAAGTCTGTTTTGTCTACTTGGTGACTCCAAGTCGAAGATCATCATTGTTGCAAAACTGACAAAATCAGACAATTGTCACCATTTTGTGATAATTTAAATATAGATTACTGGTAGGAGAGTTGAGGGGCAATTATGTAATGTTGGGAAGAGAAATCTTACAAGTGATTGGCATCTAATAAGTGCCTTTGATGATATTCACATGTATAAGTAGTGTTCGTTCTCCTGCTCCGATCATTAGCAGATTTTGTATCTTGACTATAATTATGCTGATAGTGGATTTTCTTTGCAGGTTTGTGGTTCTATACTTTCAAAAGCCATGGTAGAAGCTTCCTGGGTATTCCAGCAGGAAGAAAACATTAGTCAATTCCTTCATCAATGCCTCTTATCGAGTGATACAGAAATACAACTGTCATCATTACATCATATCAATCATGTGATCAATTCCCAACCAATCATCACTGGTTCCGGAAGTGATACATTACTGACGCTCATTATAAAAGACCTTAAACATGAATCTAGCCAATCATGTTTACTGGTAAAATTACAAATCTTCATCCTCTTGATGCAGCATGACAATCTGTCCATATCAGATGATTTCCATCATTTATGGCAGATTTTATTACCCCTTGCCCGGGGTGTCAAAGGCTCCACTATGGCTGCTACTGCTGTACCTGCACTTGCTGTCATTCTGAAAAGAAATCTGGACTGCGAAAAGTCAAGGTAAACTTTCTAATGTTGATATAAAGTTGCATCATACAATCCCCGACCTGTAGATCTGATTTGCATCAACAGTTTAATTGCAGAGTTGTCACCGTGCACACTGTATAAATTGAGTCCTAAGTGACAATAACAATGAATGCTAAAATGCAATGGCTTATGGGTAAATGCTTATTTGTTAAACATCAATGCGCTATCACCATCTGCTGTACACACAAGTGATGACTCCCCTGCTTTAACCTATTACATGAGTGATTCCATCTGTTTTTGATGTCTTGCCATTATAGGCATTATATTAGTGATTGGTGCAGTCTAATACAAGAATACAGTAGTGCTACCAATGTGGAAGATCTGAGGTTGGCCGTTACCAAATCTCTTCAGATTGTTGGTTGTGATGTACTACAAGCCATAGCAAACAGTCAAGATGAACAACTAGTGCAGTATGCTATCAAGTAAGAGTATTTTTAATTAGTATTGACATATTTTTATATCTTGTCAAGTATGCTTTCATTTGGTGCTTGGGTAATGCTTATATGGTCATGTAGCTAGGATATCTCTTCAGACTTTATGGCCTGGTAGCATCATGTATGGTCCTATTTTTAGCTTGGCTGTTGACTTTGTCAAGCAAAGCTTATCAATGACTGATTGTCTGTTTCCGTCGTCCATCGTCATTTTTACTTTTTTGACTTCTTGAAAACTACAAGACCGATTGCTTTGATACTTGGTGTATATGTACTTTGGGTAGACTTTACTATTTTTGGTGAATATTTTTTTGATAAAAAGTGATATTTTCAACTTCTTCTTGAAAACCAGTAGTCCAATTGCTTTGATATTATACATATTTTTGATGAATATTTTTGGTAAAAAGTGATATTTTGACTATTTGTTAAAACCCGCAAGTCTGATTGATTTGATATTATACAGGTGGACCTGTAGCTGAGAGGTCACTTGTCTTATTCCAACATACTCTAGTTTTTTCCCTACCTGAGACTGATGCTACTATATTCTGTAATTTACAATTAATTATAAAATTTTACAAATTGCCTGATGTAGTCATAATTTAATTCAGGATGGAGATATCTATATTTCAAAAAATATTGTTATTAAATATTTGTTTCCAACCATAGTATATTTCAGTGTAGTATGTGTCTCCTACAAGATGAAGTATATGAAATTAGAATGGAAGGTGCTCAGTTTACGTCTTTGTTGCCACGTACAGCAAGTTGTATCCAGTATTCTAGTCTCCATAGCAATGTAGGCTTACAGGTAATTACATTTTTCAAATGATATATAGAGTTATTACATGCGCAAGTGGATTCACATTTGTCAACATCTTGTTTTATTTTATCTATTCTGTAGCTACTGTTTGTTTACATGTTTCACACTTATCAATGGTCTTGTGTTTTTGTGATGTACATCTTGGATTATATGCAAGGCAAGGTGTCAGTTGTGGATGTTATTGAGAAGCATATCAAGGCTAGGTAAGATTACGGGTATTTTGTATTTTGTTGTGCTCTAAGTATTTTCATATAAAGCATATTCCTATCAATTCATTCCTAAATTCATGAAATTGCATGAAATGTATTGGGACTCTTGTTTGAATCTAACTTAATATTTTCTTGTGCCATGGTGGCTTCTACTGTAATGCAGTGAATCTGCTGTTGTGCCATGTTGTCTTCCACTGTACTGCAGTGAATCTGCTCTTGTGCTATGGTGACTTCCACTGTACTGCAGTGAATCTGCTCTTTTGCCATGGTGACTTCCACTGTACTGCAGTGAATCTGCTCTTGTGCTCTGGTGACTTCCACTGTACTGCAGTGAATCTGCTCTTGTGTCATGGTGACTTCTACTGTACTGCAGTGAATCTGCTGTTGCGCTATGGTGACTTCCACTGTACTGCTGTGAATCTGCTCTTGTGCCATGGTGACTTCCACTGTACTGCAGTGAATCTGCT